CTCAAATTTAAATTCCAATTTAAGTCAAACTTAAATTAATTTGAATTCTAAATTGAACAACTTATCAAATAAGTTTAAATGGATAAATCTAGATGTGTTCAAATTTAAATTTAAATAATCACATTATTTAAATAATAATTAATTATTTTCGAGTGTTTAATTTTAGAATTCCGTAATTTTAAAATTCCCATTTTGCCTTTTGTGTCTGGTAGAATTACTAGGACGACGCGGGGACTAATGGACCTATAATCCCGAGCTCCAATAAAATTAATAATTAATTAAACACTTTAATTAATTAATTAATTATATTAATTATAATAGTTACTCCACTATAAACTTGGAATTGCACTCTCGAAATTATAAACATAAATTACTTTTAAACTGTGAAGTGTCCATTTGATATAGTCATTGCATATAGATCGATCCTCCATAAATAATTCATAATTAGAGTTAGGTAAAATCTGTTAACCTTTCTAATTATATCTTTATCATTGAGTAGCATTGATTCTCTAATGGACAGTGATTCATAAAAGACATTTATGAATCGGAGCTCCTACTGGTCCAAGTACCGAATCAACCCTCAAGAGAATTATTTATCTACTTCTTTCTTAAGAAGGAATGGATTGTTGGTCTTCGAATCGAATCCGGATGCGGAAGCGTGGTGCGAGGAAGAGGCGGATCGTGTATAACAAAAATTTTTATAAAACTTTTGACATACTCTATAGATTATAATAATTTATGCACGAATAAATTAATCTCATTAATTCATTTATTAAGAACTCAATCAGAAAAAATACCTGGAAGCCGACTCGGATGATAACTTGAGTTCTTGAACCACGAGCAGTACTTGCTCCAATCTTTGTGTTTAGAAAACCAATGTCTTCCACGTCAATTCCTAGAATCCATGAACACGTGTGTGTGGGCACACATGAGACAAAACGGGTTACAATAAACACTCGAATTTTCACAAACTCCAACGCATGCACGATGTGAAATTTTTGGAGAAAAAAATTTTCCTTTCTCCCTACAAAGAGAATTTCGGCCAGCCTTAACTCTTAGGGCTCAAAAATTGTTTTCCAAAATGTCTCCACAATTTTCTATCATTCGCATATTTAAAGAGTAGAAGTCAAATTTCAAAAAAGAATTAAATCTCTATCTATAAGATAAAGCTTGTTAATTATCTCCTATTTGAATTTGGAACAAAATATCCTCTTATCCTTATCCATTGTGGCTGGCCACCTTAGGGGATCTTTATCCCTGTGTGGCGCCAATTTGCAGATAGGGAAGGAAGAGAAAATCATCCTTTATCCTGTAGTCCAATTTTGACTGAAATTCAAATTCCAATTTAAGTCAAACTTAAATTAAATTGAATTCTAAATTGAACAACTTATCAAATAAGTTTAAATGGATAAATCTAGATGTGTTCAAATTCAAATTTAAATAATCACATTATTTATATAATAATTAATTCTCAATTAATTATTTTCGAGCGTTTAATTTTAGAATTCCGTAATTCTAAAATTTCCATTTTGCCCTTTGTGTTTGGCAGAATTACTAGGACGACGCGGAGACTAATGGACCTATAATCCCGAGCTCCAATAAAATTAATAATCAATTAAACACTTTAA